GCCCTCCGGCTGCCGCGCTGCTTTCCGTGGGACTGGGAGCTGGAAGCAGCGGGAGAGTTTGGCTGCGGCGTAGGAAAAGGGCTGGAGCAGATGCGCGCTGTCTGGAGGTTGCGAGAGCTGCATAAAAGCACAGGCTCTCCCCGCGCCCGAGGAGACTCACAGCTGCCCTCGTCCTATGGTTCAGAGAGAGCTGGCGGCGGCCCCGCGGCTCCTGACTGCTTCTCCCTCCAGCTTCCCTGGAAACCGCCTGGGAGGCGTTTTTATTTTCCAGGCGCTGCAGTGCCATCCGCGGCTCGCCAAGTTGGCAGGTGGATGGTGGGTTTGCGTGGTAGCCAAGAAAGGACGGCAGATCGACAAATACAGAAATGTGAGACTGTTCCTGAGCTGCCAGCGTCAGGGCCTGGAGCCCGGCCGGCTCTGCTGTGACCCAGGAAGGGGATTATCAGCCACTCCTGCCCGGGGACTTGAAGTACCAACACTCAGATTCTTTGGAGTCTTGTTCAAACATGTTTTCGAGGTGCCCATGATTCAGCTGCACGCCGCTCTACCGATCCGCGCTGGGGAATACCTGTGCGTGCCCACACTGCTCTGTGTCTATCAGAGGTGGGAGCTGGCTTGGAAAAACCCTCTCACAAAATGCCCACCGTTTTTTGCAAGGCTCACGCTGAGGTTTTGGACCAGCTGCCTTTCTGCCGTGCTGCTGGCTCACTACTTGTTATTGCAAAGTTGCCCGTTTGTGCCAGGCAGGCTGTTGTGCCCCACTGAGTATTTTGATTTTGCGAGCGCAGTGTCTTGCAGCTATAGCTGTGGGCTGGTTTAGTAGTAAGATATCCACAGCCCTTGGTGATGGTTGCGATGAGAAGAGTGACCCTGCTGAGCAGCACCCGTGTCTGGAACGCTGATGCTTTGGGGAGCATGTGGCGGTTCCTCTCTTTGCAAATCCTGTCTTTCGGGATTGCTGAAGACCCCTCAATGCCAGTGGAGTGGCATGGACTTGGAAAAGTGAGCTAGTTTTATGTTCTTGGAGTCTGAGAATTTTTTCTGTTGCCAAAGCAGGTCACATCAACTCAGTGTATCGAGATTGGCCTGGCTCAGGTCTGTCTCAAATTCAAGAGGTTGCAGAGCGAATCCCACCATCTGCTGCCTGAGGCAGCAAAAGTCTGGTTACCTGGGAAGTTCCTGGGATGTCTAAGTCGTGATCAGATCCAAGTACGGCTCTTCATTCCTGAAGATGTACATTGATTTCAGTAACTTGTCACCAGATTTCCTGGTAGTAGTGACCTGGGAATCCTCTACATTACGAGGATTATACCCAAATCCCACTTCTGGACACACTTGATTTCAGTAACTTGTCACCAGATTTCCTGATAGTAGTAACCTGGGAACAAGGTTTTTGTCTGTAGAGGATCTAAATTACGAGGATTATACCCAAATCCTGCTTCTGGACACAACTAACCTTCAAATTCACCTTAGCGTCTTGACTTGGGCTGCTTCTGAGCTCAGAGGATGTGACACATCCCATACCTTCAGTTCGGCAATATTGGCACGTATCGTTACTCGGTTCCTCTGTTCATTCACAACATGACACTAAACACGAGCCCGCTACACACAGCAAGCAGGAAATATCTATTCAGTGTGTGTCCTCCGCTTCCTCTGGGCTCCGGCAAATCCCAGCAGAGAAGCGACTTACCATCGCCGAGGTTCTCACTTTTGTTTTGCTCAGTGTGACACCTTTTCCCCGCCACCAACGTGTACGTGTGTGAAGATCTTTTCAAGTTGCTCCAAGTGTCTTTCCCCTAAATACACTGTCAGGAAGTGAGTAGAGATTACGTCCTGTCTTTTAAAAGCTATTTTCTGCTGGAGGGAAACCAAAATAACTTCCAGCTACAACCCTCCAGAGCCATCTGTTGTAGGAGAGGAGAAAAAAAGGATGTCCCATGTAACCGTCCCTGCTGATAACAGCACGGTGATAAACAAATAGTTGTACACGTGCTTCAGAGCCACTTGGTCACCGCTCCCAATCAGAGGTTGGAGGCTGTATCCGTTCCCTTAGTCGCTGGCCTACAGGATAGTACTAAAAAAACCCATTGTACCTGGCCCCCAGCAACAGGCAGTGTTTTGACTGGTGTATATGGTGTCTCTGGATCTCTTGTTTGACCTCGAGCTCACTGCACTCATGTGTACCCAGCACTGGGTACTGTACAGAGCCCATGTGCAGGCTGTGTTGGCTGCAGGTGTCCTCAAGGCCTAAGCTCTTTGCTTAACACATGGATGAGTAGTTGTACTTGCTCTACAAGGACATGAGACCTTGCTTTTGTCAGGGTATAATTTTATGGCCTTGCTTAAATTGCATATACAGAATGTAACTTTTGAAATTTTTCTTCTCTTTTTTTCATTAAAGCTTGAAGAAGAATTCCAAAGAGCGGCCGACATACCCAGAGCTTATGGTGAGTGTGCCTGGATTAAGCAGTGGTTTGGTTCAGAGCTGAGATGGATTCCAATGGGATGCTGAAGGAAGGGTTTCTGATAGTGACTGGTGATTTGGGATACTGCGCATCTCTATTTTCTTAACAGATGTGAGAATCATGTTACTTCAGGATCTTGGGAGGGCGACTGCGAATCAGTGATGCTCTTTGAAATCTCATTCAGATGCTAATTCGGTCAGATCAAGGGAGAAAAATATGTGAAAGCAGTTAACAAATTTGCTAAGGGACAAGAATGAGGCTGTGAAGAACCAGTTAGCGAGGATAAAATCCTCCTCTTGGGTTTGTGTGATGGCTTCAACCACCCAAGTGAAATCCCTGTGCCACGGGTGCTCCACATGGGCTGCAGGAGCCCAGTGGCCTGCTGGGCGTCACTGCCCTCGTGCCTTGGAGAGGAGACTTTTTGGACAGAGTGATTCCTGGGTGTTAGGGACAGAGACAAGCCTGTGACTAATATTTCCAGTTATTGAATTTCATCTGCTGCTTAGTGACCGTTTGCTGTGGGCATGTCTAGGTCAGAGGGATAAGGAAGAAAATGCTGATAAAGGCTCCCAACGGGGGGAACACAAGGCAGCGTGGGGCTTTGAGGTTGGATGCACTTAACTGCTGGTGAGCTCCCAGCAGCGCAGACACTGATGGGTGCTCAGAGCTTTGGGCTGGAGCTGGCAAGAACAGGGTCTGTGGTGAGATTTGTCTGCTGGGGCTCCACAGCTTCATGGCCTCTCTCTCTCCTGACTTTCTGGTGTTGATCCTGGAGCTTCTAATAGCTGTCAAAAAGCAGGAGAGATTATTAGGAAGTCAGCGTTAGACTCCCATAAGCATCTAGTCCCTTCTTAACTCTCATCTGACTCACAGCTTGCTAAAGGCAGGAAGGTGCCTAACTGTTATTTCTGACGATCCTGACCCAAATGCTTGCCTGTCCCCACATGCCCACCCCTGTCCGGTGCCACTGGCAAGATCTTCTGGGTTAAGGGTGGAAACTGCTGCAGGATTTCCTCAGGCATTGCTGTCTCCTGCCCCATAACTTGTAGGACATGTGCTGTGCCATCCAGGGGGTCAGCCTCATCACTACCTCACCCTGTCCGCTCGGAGGTGTTGGGACCTCTGTGGTGTGAAGGTGCCAGGGTTTAAGGTGTTCTGTAGCTGCAAGACATGCTGGAAATCCATGTACCCTTCGAATGTGAGTTGTAAGCAATGAATAATTCCTGTGGCGTTTCTTGCTGAGCCCTGTAATGCAATTAGACTATATATAGATCTGATTTACACACAGTTTGCCCAAATACCGGCTTCAAACAAAGGGAGGCCCGAGGCTTATGGCTTTTTTTTTTTTGGCTTTTTTTTTTTTTATTATTGAATAAATACATTTATATTTTAAGAAAATTTCCGAAGTTTGCCAAATGGCCTTTTATCAAAAAGGTTCACCGGAGCAGCTCTGTCTGTTGCAGCATTAATACCCACTGGCAAGTGAGTGCATTTCTATTGAATTAGGTTCTTGGATCACCTCTCCAGAGTATCTCAATGCTGTGGTATTTTATGGCTGACATGAATGTTGTGAGGTCCTGCAGTTGAGGGTTGCTGGTTTGTTGGTTTTTTTTTTTCTCCCTCCTCTCTCTCTTATGGCATTAAGTTGTGGTACTGGATTGGACTTGTCATTCAGACCAAGACTTCTCTCTTGCTTTCCTGTGGAATTGAGGTTTCTCATGGAAAATATGACTCTGTGCTATCTTGAGCATCAGGAAAACTGATAAGGATGCTTAATTCCATTTTAAAACCCACTTCCTTAGGTGAAGTGGAGCATGTAACTACTGCATGACTCCTCTTCGGTGGTCTGCATGTTGCATGGAGCACATCCCACCTGGCACGGGATGTTCTGTGCTATGACCAGCCTCAGCGCTGTGGAAGGGTTGGGTTCACTGAGAGACAGGGCCAGAGGCCACCCCTGCCACCCGTGTCACATTGTGGGTGCTTCCAGGCTGCGGTAGCTCTGCTTTGGGTGCGACTGAGCTGGCATGTGAAAGCACTGGCATCACGCTAGGATAATAACACGGCAGGCCATTTGGGCCATCTCTCCCAGAGTTATTCAGGACACTTTGATTCCCGTGACTGTCTGACCCAGGGAGACCTTAAATTTTGTCTGGATCCTTGCCTCAACCCATTTCAGCACTGTTTCCTACATAATTGTACTTCCTCTTCCTTGCTGGTGTGTCTTTGGGTCACTTCCCAGCTGCTCAGAGCTGCCTCTTTTTGTTCACTGGATAACTTTCTGCTCAAGCTCACCTTGGAAAGTCTCTTTCTTTGCTCCTCTGCTCCCTCCACTTGGCCACTGATGCAAATGATCATTGAAATAACCAACACTCAGGGACTAAGGTGGGAGGCAGCTTTGAAAAACCCTGGAAAGTCTCAAATGTCTTTAAAAATCTGGCTTGAAATGAGAGGGTCAGGAGTCACACCGAGCCCTCCCAGCCTGCCTATGGGAAGCATGACAACGTTTTGCATGGAGTAGGGGTCACCTGGGAGCCCCACAGGGCCCCAGCTGCCTTTTGGTTCTCACTGACACCCTCCATGCAAATAAATACAATTAACTGCCAGAACAGTTGGTTTTGAAGTGTTTGGTGATTTCAGGTGGAATTTGGCTGATCTCGGCTGATGCGTTGCAGCCCCCGGTAGCAAACTGAGTCACTGGCACTGGCAGAGAGGGGCTTTGCTGGTGCTGTCAGGGGGCATTTGGTTGTGGTTTTTTTTTTCTCCTGACACATATTTTTCCGTTTGGGCTGAAACGTAGGCGAGATTTTCTGGCAGGATGTCTTCCCATGTTGGTCACGATTAAGTAGTTAAACATACAGCTGCGGATGGCTTTCCAGCCAGGATGGCTTTCCTCTTCGCGGTGGTTAGGGGTAAAGTAGCCATCTCCTGCTGCGAGTATGAGCAATTGCAGGGAAGAAATGAGACTCGAGAGTCACCAGAGGATAAATACACAGATAAAGCAGGAAGCTGAGGGAAAACCCACTGCCGTCAGCCTTCCTGCGAGGTTTTCCTTGCTCCCGTTGGGGCTGGCGTGCGGTGGGGGACCACTGTCTCAGGAGGAGCGCATCTCCTCCCGGCACCGCGGAGCTGCGAGACGGCGTGTGCCGAAGGCCACCACGTGCTGGAGATGGAGGCAGTGCTTTTTAATCCTTTCCCTTGCTTCCAGAGCTGCCCAGTGCAGCCCTACCAGCCAGGGCAGGGTGCGGAGAGGATCCGAGAGGGCAGTGCAGATCTGCAGCCTGCATGAAGTGGTCCGTCGGGCTCCCGGACTTGCCTCAGCTGCAAAAGATGGAAAGTCCAATGTTATCCCGCTAGCGACAAAATCTTTTTCACTGTCTGGAAGATTGTCTGAAAAGGTTTTTGGTTTGGTCCTCAGCATCGTGAATAATAAACTTCTCTATTTGTTCTCTCTTTTCTTTCCCAGCAACATCCTTTCTTCACCCTGCACGAATCCAAAGAGACAGACGTCGCCTCTTTTGTCAAACTCATCCTGGGAGACTGAGAACTGGACTTGTAAATGAATTGCCCTTCTGTGGACTGGTGGGTGCAGGGGAGGGGCGCGTGGCAGGACTTGTCATGAAAGCACCAACAGAAAGTCGCCGTGTTTCGTTTTGTTTTGTTTTTATTCTGAGAAACCCCCGCCTCGACGAAGTTTTTAAAAGGGTTCTTTGGTATCCATAGTGACATAGAACGAGCTGGTTAGTGAAATGAATTTTAATAAGGTTGGTAACCTTAAAACAAAAACAAAACAAAAAAAAAATTGAGAGAGTGATTTACATATTTAATGACAGTCAAAATCCCTCTTCCTAACTTTCTCCTTGTCCCCCCTTTCCTTCCCCCTGAACCGGAATTTGCTTTGTCATGGTAATAGGTGCTATGGTAGTCATGAAGTTGTATGTAGATTTATATTTTGTCCCTTCCATTATTTTAATATTTATGTTAAGTGCTTGATGGAATAGATTTCTGTTTTATATGAGGATGAATGCGTGGTGACGATGATGAGGCTAAATGAGGCCACAGCAAGCAATAGCTGTAGGGCTTTGCTGGGGAAAAGGTGTCAAAGGAAAAGAGAAAGAAGAGAAGAAATGTCTGTGTTGTGGAAAATATTTAATGTGCATCATAAAAAGAATTTATAAACAAGGATCTCAGCTCAGCTACTCGAGCTGCTTTCGCAGAGTGCGAGGCAGCATCGCTGCAAGGGAGGGAGGCCCCAGCGTCCTGCGAGGTCGCCTCTGCTCCGGACACGGCGCTCCGAGCCCGGCTGGCATGTCCCGGCCAGCCTGCTGCCTGCGGTGCTCTGCCAGCCACCTCCTGGAGCAAGCCCCTGCCCTGCGTCCCACCGGCTCGCTCTGCTGTATCTGGAGTGGGAACACGTTGTTAGGATGGTGTCTGGGACAGAAGCCCCGTAGGGAACTAGATTGTCGGAGAAGTTGCACAAAGATCAGGAGGAGGCTGCGGTGGTCAGTCCCCACCTGCCCACCAGCCCGGCAGCGTTCAGCATCTGGGGCTCCCGTGGGCTGAGCATGAGCTGCTTTGGGCCCAAAAGGGAGTTCCTCTCTCCTTCTCCGCGTGAGAAAGGATAACAGTACGCGTAGCGTGACATCTGTGAAAAATGGGATGTCTCAGCGCGAGTTTCCAGGGCTCTGTGCTTGCCCACAGACTTTGGGAGTGCTCGTGAGCTCCCTGGAGCCTGTGCCAGCCTGCGGTTTGGGCCGTATCCAGCTCTGGTTGGGATGCTGAAGGCAGCCAGGAGCTCTGGGCTCCAGCACGGGCTGCAGGTGCCCCCACGAGAGCTGCAGCCTGGGAGACCACGCAGGGAAACCACGGCCCACCCGTACCAGGAGCTCCTTGCTGTCGGCCAGGTCCTTGGAGAAGAGCTGCCAGCCAAGGGCAGGAGCACAGGGACTGTTGGGGTGGGAGGGGAAGGCAGCAGATCGTGCTGCTTTTAGGTAACGTGGTTGCTGTCTAGAGAAAGGGATCAAGGTGTTGCTGCCAGTCTGGAGCAAGACCACTGGCTCCAGTTGGCACTGGTTTGACTGAGCCAAATCCACATAGCCGCCCCGCTCGGCTATGGGGCCCTTTGCCTTTGCAAAGCCCTGCGAAGGAGAGCGCCTGTGCGTGCGGCGGCGCCGGGCGTGCACGTGTGCCTTGTGCCCCTCTCCTGCTTCCCTTCCCCACCCATCGCTTCGGCGCAGATTCTCAGAGTCACGTCCTAACTAGAAGCATGCCTTGCTCTGCGATATTGAAGTCGTGCAGGATGTGATTCAGCCTGGTATCCAGCCCTTTCTCTCCCAGTTTAGTGGTTCCAGTCTCTGTTGGTGCAGGTTGGGCTCCTGGGCTGGCCTGAGCATCCACGTAGGAAGCGATTCCTTGGGAGGGCTGATGTTTGGAGCAGGGGTTACCGAACGGTGGTACCGCTCGTGCCAGGGACATGCCAACCACTTTGAAGAGGTGCACGTAGACACCGCCAGTGCCTGGGCTGCCACCGCTCCGTGGCTGGCAGCGCCCGCGGAGTTGGCTGTGAACCACAAGACAGGGCAGCTCTGCGCTGGGGCCGGCATCGGAGGAGATAGGAGAGCATTGCTCATGGGGATTTATTGATCCTGGTGCCCCTCAGCTGCAGGGCAGGGTGGCTCGGGGAGGGCTCGTGGGAGTCAGGGCACGGGGCTTTCCTTGCTGCGAAGAGCTCCTGGGTGGTGCAGACTTTGGGGCCCTCGGTAATGATAAGCTCCATATTTCCACGTCATGTCGAGGGGAACCTTTCAGGTCACATTTTGTTGCGGGTGAAACACAAGGATGTTTTACTTCGCGGTGTAATTTTAAGAGGCCTCGCATGGCTCATAATCTGCCCTCTCGTATTCCGTGGGGTGGGTGTGTGTTTTCTCTCTCTCACTTTCTCAGAGTCACAGAGCTGTTTTGATTGATTGTCCTCAGCTGCAGCTAAAAGTCCAGCCAGCCAGTTTATAGAGTTGGTTCCAGCATCAATTCTCGCTTTGAAAAACATGACATTTAAAACCACCCTTTGGTTTTCCTACATATGGATCTGATGCTTTTGTTAAAGATTGTTTTTGTCGCTTTTCTCCTGGAATATAAGTCTCATTTGGACGCCACATCTCCTTGACCTCAGAGCACCTTTATTTCAGTGCCATTGTAATTGACAGGTTGAATTTATGAGATGCTGTCAAAGTTCAGTATTAATAGCAGATATTAATGTCACCAGCGTTTTCCAATAGAAAATTAATGTCAGTGTCGTCTGCAGCTAGTAACCCTCGAAAACGATTCCTACATGCCTCGACACTACATGCTGAGTGCTTTCTTTTATGCTTTTTGCTCTTGCAGTGGCTGGGCTGCCTAATCCTTTTGTTTTAACGACATTACAATAGGGCATGCAACAAATCACTTCACTTCCCTCCTGGTTCTCCATGACTTTGTTCCTTTAAAAGTCATTTGCGTCAGCCCAGAGTAAGTGTGAATCCGTATGACCGGTGTGAAAGAAAACAGGGATCCGAGCGATCACCGCCGCGGAAGGTCGTTATGGCAGGAGAGGATCGCAGAGGCAGGCTGTCTGGCTGTCTCTCTCTCAGAAAATCCCAGGATTTTCTTAGAAGCCTGAGCTGGTGGCCTCAGCGCAGGGAGGAGAACGCCAGGGACTCCTGTGTGCTTAAAAGCTCTGAAAATATGCTGGGCAACAAGGTGAAAATCAGGCTCTTTGCTCTTGCGTTTGATTGTAACCTCTGTGAAGATGAAAAGCCTTCGGCCAGTGCTCAGAACTGTGGGTGGCCACACCACGGGCACAGGGTTGCCCAGGACAGGTGTGGTTCTGGGACATTAAGCCTTTCCCAACAACCGCGGCGCTGAACAGCCAAGGTGTTAAGGCTTAAAGCTGTTCTTCAAAAAGCTCTTTTGCTTTCAGACAGCACAGGGCTGTGGGCAGTGTGTTAGATTGTTCTGAACTGGGATTTTTCGACAGCAAAAGAAGACCCTGAAACAAACCAAGAACACAACCAGGGGGTGAAGAGGAGAGAAAAGCTGCTCAGAGCTCAGCACCGAGCTGTGACCTGGACTGATTGCTTGAATTAATTCCAACACAGTTGGCCATTGCTAGGCAGGGAGGGCCTCTCCACTCCGCCACAGGCAGTGATTATCAGGCTGCAGGAAAGATGTGCAGCCCATCCCCATGGCAGGCAGCGGGGGACCACTGGGGCATGATGCTCATCCTCTTCTGTCCTCCATCACACAGCTCCTGATGTTCCTGCTACCAGCTGGACGCTTGAGACCTTGCCATCGCCAGAGGTCTTGGAGTGTCACTGGCAAGAAAGCTACTTTTGGGGTCCCCAGGAGCCCACTGGTCCCTTCAACTTGAAAGAGGAGTTGGAGGGCATTTGCTGGTTGCTGTTTTTAAACGCCAGGTTCGTGCTGCTGCAGTGGGTGAAATGCCCATCTTTTCTGGAGTTTTTCCAGGTGTACAAAACTTTACACAGATATCTATGTACTGTATTTCTGCATTGTTCCTGACTTGTGTCAGGTTTACCGGTGAGGAAGGAGGCATTTCTGACTTGTTAAATAGGTGGGAACACCGTTTCTGGAGGCAGCTGGCCTTCCCTGTGTGATGGAGGAGGCAGTTGGTGGGTCACTACTCAGAAAAAGCTCTGAAAGAAGATATGCAGCTGAGCTCCCAGTTCTTTAGCAGGTGCAGAGGGAGGTGGCCGTGTGCCTGTTGGGTCAGTGCTAGCTGCACCTTGTCTTGGTGGGAAGGGGCAGCAGCAGAGCAGTGCCTGGTGCTGAGGGCATAGACACCGGTGTGCACAGCCTTAACTGGGATTTCTCCGTGCTTGCTGCAAGCTACCTGTGTACCTGCACGTTTCCCTTCTTTCCTAGACATTTTGGAAGAGGAAATCCTGCTCAGTCAATGCAGCTTTGCTTTAGTGGCTAGTCTGATGTAGTTCAGACAAGGTTCCCACCAGCTCCCTTGTTTAATAGGCCTCTTTTTTATTAAAAACAAAACCCAAACTCTTCTCTCAGAAAAGCCAGCCAAGATGCTCTTTTTTTTTTTTTTTCTCTCTTCCATCTTGTTCCTCTTAGAGGATCTCTGGGAGCCCGTCTTGGTGCTTTCACTCTTTCACATGCCAAAGATTGCTACATCCCTCTTAGTTACGCTCCTGCCAAACCAGGCCTTAGAGTCTTGCCTCAAAAATCATCCACTTCCCTGCTCCTTGGGGTTCCTTTTGTTGCTGTTGCTTTTTCATTGAATTTCCTCATGTTTATTGACATGTCTATTGTTGAGCTTCCTGGACACATGCAGCTCTCTTTTTCAGATACAGAGAAAGACAAATAGTTGCCTTCACTGGTCTGCCCCTGCTGTTGGGGAAATACTGCTGGTGATATGATTCCTGCAGATGGGAATGGGTCTCATTTCGAGCTAGGGTCACAGAGGGTGTAAACTGGCATTACTCCATTGGCTTGGCTGGAATAAGGCCAGTTTTGTCCAACTGAGAATCTGTCCTTAATGTCTAAACAGTTGTTACACACTAATAAAGATTAATGATTGTAAATCCCCATGGATTATACATAAAATGGCAAGTTTTAGTCATTAATCTTTATTGCCATATTATAGCTGTTTACGTTAGAGGAGTCGTCTCTCTCTGTTCAGAACATGCACTTAGGAGGTGAGGGTTGAGGGTGGGGGAGATGAAGAGTGGACAAAACAGACCAGATGTCTACATGTTTTACAGTCTGTGTCCTCCCCCCAGGTTGGTTGTTTCCTTGAAAGCCGTTAACCAGCGGCAAAGGATGTATCACAGAGCTTTGTCTGCTTCGCTGGCCTCTGGCTGAGCTATAAAATCCAGATTGTTTCTGGTGAGAAGGGATCAGATCTCCTAATTAATATTTCAGCTCAGCCTTTACTGGAGCAGATGGATAATATGAAATTTGACATGTGCTCTGGCAGGCCAGAGCTCTGCAGCGCAGTGAGATTCG